GACGCCTGTAAATATATTTTTCTTTAATTTTATCTTTAGTTGATATTCCTTGTATAATTGATTTTCTTCAACAATATAGCTGATTACCGATTATCCGGTACGATAGGACCATGTTTAGGAATTCAGGACTTCACGAAATAAAAAGGCAGGCGTGTGGACTGTATGCTGTGAGCTTTTATAATGAACTTACAAATCGATAAATTTTAAATGAGACAGAATATTCATGACATGATTATGACAGTGAGCTTACACTACGAGCTTTAACATATTGCTAACGCATTCGACGTAGGCGCTCCAACAGTCTGACATGGCTCATGTAGAACTTCTTAGCGTCAGACACATATAGCGATATGACATAGCGATTAACGTGTTAAAACAAAAAAATAAACGGGAGCAATTCAGAACAGCTGTTTACCGCGGGGTTGCCACAGAAAAATATCCCTTTATTAATAATATATCCCTTTATTGTACACCAGATATAAATATAGAATAATTGTCTTAAACTAGGTTAGTACAAAAATTTTACTTAGATTTGTAATTATTTTTCAATTTTTAGTGCTCTTTGTTAGTATTGTTTGAAGTCGGTTCAACTTTTTTTTTAAAGGATTTTTTACACGTTCACGTTTAATACTTTGTCACACACTGTGCTACGCAAAACAGAGTACAGGGAAAACTGAATAAATAAGTATAGTAAAAGGACTTAATTGAGCTGGATACGAACTGAAGGTACTCTACTCTAAACATTAGTGGATAAAAAGACAATGTTATGTATTTCTTTATGTGTTAAATAAATAAATAATAAGTTAGACAAACGACAACCTTTGTAAGTATTGTTTGAAGTCTGTTCAATTTATTTATTTTACCCTTTTTAGTGTAAGATATGTTTGTAATGAGTAGATAAGTACAATATTTAAAAACACTACGTACCGTAGTGTATAGTATCAAACTGTAGTATGTTAGATTATATTAAATACAGTTTAATGAGTCCGTCACTTTATTTAGATAAGGTAGTAAGATGTTACATTTGAACCCGAAAATATATTGTTTTCCACATTAGGTACTTGCTTTTCCAAACTAGGATTGATATTTTTTCTTCACATTTGAATGGAACTAAAGGGGAAGTATACCCTTCTAAATAAAGAAAGAAATTTCGTAATCGGTTTACAAATAAAGGAGTTTTGAGGTAACAAACATGAAAATAGCTCGAGAGCTCGTTGGAAGCAGACGTGTACTAAAAATATTACCATTTCAATAAAAGCCTTAGTAAACTAAAACCATCTTTATTGTGCAGTGTTTAAACTTGTTTTACATTGTGATCTGTTAATTACTCAAGACTTTGTGCTTCTCACCCGGGAGTGAGTCGGCGCGTGCGCAGAACCGCTCACCGCGAGAGTGAAAGAAAGCGTCCGATATTTTCGCCTGCTCGCACGCACTCGGAACAACGACATGAGTGTGCAAAGAAGGTAGGTTTACATTGGCAAGCGACAGGGAGAGCGGTAGCGGATCGGTCCCAAACTTATCCACGCTCAGCGATGAGGACTTTTACGCTAACATTCATTCAAGAAAGCGGAAACAGCGTACGGAAGAAAATGATTATAAAAATGACTTCATGGACTTCCGCGCGGAAATGATGAACTTCCTAAACCATTTTGGCAAAACACAAACCGAAAACCTGAACCAAATTAAAGAACAAATATTGAATATAAAGAACGAAATAAAGACCATAAAAATATCTACAGAAAAATTTGCAGTACAGCTCGAACGTGCGAATACGGATATCGAAAATATCAAAACCAAAACAACCGCTACGGAGGTCAAAATAAAACATATAGAAACCGAAATATCTCAGATTAAAAATCAACAAAATACAAAATGTTCGACTCTGAAATCGCCAGTCGAGTGTCACGAGAATCTCATCCTAGAACTCAAGGACCGATACGACCTCGAGAAGAATATTGTAATTGTGGGTATATCGGAAATAAATAACAAAAATTGGAATTTGAGACTGTCCTAAGGCGATTACGTGTAGGAGACTAGGAAAATATGTGCAAAATAAGAACCGACCCATAAAAATTCATTTCTAAAATGCAAACACTGCAAAATACTTGTTAAAAAATAGAACAAACTTACCTGAAAACATACAGATTTTTTCTGATCAAAACCCAAAACAAAAGCAATACCTAGAATCTCTGAAAGAAGAGCTAAATAAGCGTACACAGGATGGCGAAAAAAATCTTACTATTAAATATGTGAAAGGAACACCTACAATAGTTGTCGTAACCCAAAAAATCCAGTAAGCACCCCATTACAAAGTGCCAAACCGATGGATAATGCTACAGACTATGTCATCAAGTAGTAAATAAATACGAGGACATTTCATTGCATCCGTCTTCTCTTAGATTTTTTTACGCGAGTTTACGCAGTATTCGCAGGGCTGGTAAGTTTGATGAAATAAAATGCATTCTAAAAGCTATTAAAATGATTACTCATCTGTTGATTTTTACTGAGACCTGGATTAAGTCAGAGATCGATGCGAAACTTTATCAACTGCCGAATTATAATCATATCTATAACCATAGACAGGACTGTAAAGGCGGAGGTGTCTCCATTTATGTGCACGATAGCATTAAATATGGCAGAACAAAAGAATTATGTGAGAACGGGAACCACTATTTATGGCTATACATAAACAAACTATCACTAAATATTAAAGCGATTTATAAACCCGGAGACACCAACATAAATATTTTTTTGGAAATATATTCGTCCCAATTGGAGCGTCGAGGAAGATCAGTGGTCTTTAGAGATTTCAATATAGACTTACTTAGGGCAAATAGTAGCGGTTTAAAATACCAATGTGAAATTCAAGAAGCCGGCTACAGAATTGTAAACAAAATCGACAAGGCATACAGTACACGCGATACGGCCACGACAAGGACAATATTAGACCATGTTTGTACTAACATAAACAACCATTGTCTTAGCCTCTTGATAATCAAATCAAGTCTATCTGATCATAAGCAAATCGTATATATATTTTTTATTTTTTATTTATTCACACAAACCTTGCATACATACAATGTTTTTTTTTTATTTTTATCTTTCTAAAGTTTATGTTACCAGAATATTTTTATATTATTATTTTTAACATAAACCAAAAGGTTTTGATTTTAATTTCAACAATTATTGTGTATAATATATTTGATTTTTAACATGTAAAAATAGTTATGATGTACACGTGAGATGGGTGTTTATAAAATTCGATGATCCTTAACGTCTAAACTAGGCCGAGCCTGTATCTTGACGTTAGTGTGTTCCCAGGAATTAAGTATATCATAAACAGACATGTGTATTAAATCTTATAACTAAAACTAGGCACACATAGTACAAAGTTGGCAATACCTCAACACTCGCAGATTTTATGTAAGTATAATATTATTACTGTACCGTTAATGATCATAGACAATAAGGATGAAATATACATTCATTTATCATACAAGACTATTTTAACAACAAGAATTCTAAGATACAATACATCTACATATGCACGTTTATGCGTTATTCTGTTCTGAGATTAATAAATAGCACTCACTCGAAATATTGATATCACACTTCTGCGCTAGAACAATACAGCCACACCACAACAGATACAATCACATCAGTAACCAGTATGTTATACTAAAAAACAGCACAGGGTACAACAGAAGTGCATTGTTCACTAATAACTGGGTATCTATGTATATACAATCGATGATGACCCACGTCCAAGTTAGGCCGAGCCCGTCTTAGACGCCACTCATTTCGTAGGAACCAAGTATATCATAGAACAGATATGAACATTCAAACGAAAACCAAATCTAGGCACATTGTCAATAAAAAAATAAATGTGGGTAAGTTTCACATAGGCAATACAGTACGTTTGCGTGGAAGTAAAACACACCGTACCGTCAAACAAATACACTTATGAATGAGAAATGCACCCGACATGTATGCGAACTTAAGACATTTTTGCAGTTAATTATTTTTATTTAGTATTGAGTAAGTATGCTTGTGAAAGCAATGTTAAGTATGAACAAGGCTCGAATTATTATTTAAATGGATTATTATCTTTTTACCTAGTAATATGCATACATATGTATATTCATACACACAAATACATATACGTATATACACAAATACACACATACATACATATACTTTTCTACTTGACAACCAGGAACAAATTTTCAATTTCTTCATAATTTTTCGATTTCAGCCATGATGTTAAAGCTTTTTTACTCGCGTGTTGACGTAACGGGTAGATTTTTAAAATTTTATTTAATTTATTGTAAAGCATTGGACCAAGGTAGCATTGGATTTTTTTTATAAAGGCAATATTGTACAATACCGTAGGACACACCCTATCCTTTCGTCGAACGGACATACAACTGTCATATTTGACTTTTTGATGTTGTGTCATAACGATGGTTTTAATAAATAATTGCCTGATCGTTAGCACATCACATTCTGAATATAGGTCGACTGTAGGGTACCGGAAGGGTTTAAATAGTATGACTTTTAATAAGGTTGCGCCCGTTCTAGATACATGAGATGAGTTTTTCGAGCTCCTCCCCAAGCAATAATTCCATATCGTCGGCTTAATAATCTAAGTTGCTAACTCCTAATCATACTACTTGTCAGAAATAAGAAAAAATGAATTTAAAATTTTAATTATTAAACCACTGCTATATCTAAATTCCAGTTGGTAGATATCTTACCAGTACCTATTATAACACTATTTATTTTTTAAATTTATTAATATTAATACACTTTAGGGTCTAAAATTGGAGTTAGCATTTTTAACATTTGCAATAAATTTGTTTACTGCTATAGGTTTAGGAGTTATCAAATTTAATTATTTATGGAATTCTATTAAAAAAACGAACTAACTTAATAATTTTAGTTTAATAGTAAAAGAAATAATTGAACCTAAATAAAAAGTTTACAAAAAATTGGAACAGTCAGTCATGCGGTAAATTATTATAAAATTCTCGAAAATCTGCTGGCAGGACTTCTTTAATTTGCTGTAGGTCGTTGTATTTTTTAGCTTTAATTTTGAGTCTACCTTGGTGTAAATTTTGCATTTCGTCAAAGCCTATTGCTGAAAGAATTCCCTTTCTCTGGGGTAGCAGTGTCCATGGGTTACTGAACCGAAGTTTGTACGAGATATTCCCCGATGGAGAATACATCAGAGCACGTATATCGGTGACCTTAGGGTCTCCCGCTGTACGGCCTGGGCGAATACTTTTATTACTTGTTATATTATTAAAAGCTTTAAAAAATCCGTGTTCCAAATATTTAACATAAAATGGACTGTTGCGGGCGGTCTTAATAATTTCAATGTAGTCTGCGGGTACGTTAACAATCCTATTACGCATCCTTCGTTCTATTGAGGAATGCATAGCATCCACCTCCATCTGCGTATGTCCGACTTCTAAATATTTTTGTTCAATGGTTATTTGGTTTTTAACTGCCAAATTTAGAAGAGCGTTTGATAAAGTTACATTGCGATTTTGGTAACCACAGCCATCAGAATAAATAATAACACGTAAATCCGTTTTGTTTTCAACTTTTGAGAGAATCTTTTTTTCAATAAAATACGTCCAAATAAATGCAAACTCATCTGCACTTAGCCCCCCTTCCGATTCGTTCCACACAAAACAATAGCCGTCTTTAGTGATGTTGTCGTAAAAGCACAGATTATGTACTTGTAGCTTGGTTTTGTAGTATAATGTGCTGACATTAGACTGAGGTGCCATCAAAACTGCTTGGAGATCTACTGTAAATACAAACTGATTTTGTTCTTTATCAGCCTGCTTTTCTTTTCTAGCTTCTTCTTTTTTCAATATATGTAACTGGAAATCATTTTCTTCAGTTGTGCCAGACTTATATCTTGTGCATGTTTCACATTCATCCTTTTTTGGACGAAACAGTGAAATATTTCTAGACTCCAGAACCTCAAAGAAAGAAGTTCTTGATAGCGGTTCTGTTGCATGTGATTTACACCACTCAGACACGTAAAACTTATACAAATCCATTTTAGTTTTCCAATCAGGCTGTAGATACTGTCTTGACGATGAGGCTCGACAATAATGGGACTCCATCGTCGGCAGAGAGTCGAAGAATTCGTTCATTGACTTTTGTCTGTCTGCAAAAGGATCTGCTCTATCTTTAGTAGCTCTAAGTTCATTAGGAGTGCAATTATATTTCATTTTATCTTTCCAGGCTATTATTGTCATTCGTCCTATTGCCAACGTGTTTAAATACATAGTTTTGCATACTCTAATATAATCATCATGAGGTGTTTTTAAGTTATATTTGAATGACTGTGTTCTTCGAGATTTATCTGACTGTTTTCGATCCCTTGGACGTTTAGTTGGAATGGCCTGGACAGTGTCATTGACAAATACTTTTTTCTCTCCCCATGTATAGTCTTTCCAAAAGTTATTAAATATTATTATCCTTTGTTCATCAGTAACAGTAGCACACTTAATATTACCTGTTTTGTTGTTACATTTGCATCTATTTTTCATACGCTTTGGTTCTTTTACAGTTTCATAGACCCATTTGGAATCTTTTTTAATTTTGCCATAATATTGTGCGCCATGTTCACGTAATTTTTTATTTTTTTCTGCAAACCAATTACTTTTGTTAACTTGCGAACGTCTTTTTCTTGACCTACTTTTAGTTGGTAAGGAAGTTACGCTGTCATCATCCGAGGTTGATGAATAAGCCACTAATTTAGGGCAGTCTAATTCGTTACTGAAATTAGATATTATATCCCAGTTCTCAATATTACAGTCGTCATTATTTTTTTCTTGCAACTGTGAAGCAAGGACAGCCACACCTTCATCATTATTTTCTGGTATAATACTATAACAAATCGTGTTTGCGTCTTCATTGGACACATCACATGTAGTCATGTCATGGAGGTCAATTACTTCGATCTGTGTATTTTGTACCAGAGAGTAGTTCTCAATATTATCCAATGGCACAATAGAAGTAGATTGTAAGGGGAGGCGTATCATTTCAATTAGATTTGATGTATCGGTACACCTATTCTCTATTCCTTCAGAACCATAATTATTAAGGAGATTATTATTTTTAAGATTAGGGAATACCGATTCATGCGTGGTTATGACATCGCACTGTAGTTCTTTGGTAAGCGCTAAATTGAAATCTTTTTAGCTCTATCAGAAGCCATCTGTAAATAAAATAAAAGCGATCTAAACCCCCACTTACAGCAGTCAGAAAACACGCAACAAGACAAGAAAAATTAAAAAGGAATCTCGAACCTTGTACCTAAGTCTGTTAAGTTAATTCAACCAAGGTTCAACTTAATTATGTATTATGTAACATATTACATATCATATATATCAATAACAAATGAAATGTTTTTTTAGATTACGGTAGTTTGATGTATTGGTATTTACAATTATTGTAGAATTTATTAATGTGCATACAGTCATGCATAACCAAACCAAGTGTTAGTTTATTGCTACAATAAGGTAAAAATCAAATAAAAGCCGACATTCACAGGAATCAAACCCGAACCATTGCAAGCCTTATGCAAACCTAGCACCTCGCACCAACGAAAATTAAAAATAAAAGTAGGCAACTCCACAAACATTACCGACAAGTAAGAATTAAATTCTGCCAACTCCCATTTTGTGCACCAACTTATTTTGTATGTGTTTTTGAATCGGTTAACCTTAGATACTGGTGTTAATATTACAAAAATATTATAGAATAGTACTTACATTTCTTAAAAAGCACCAGTCTAGTACGCTAATCTCAAAAAAACATAAGCTTTAAAAATAAAACGAGGCAGATCACTCTCAACAAAGCTTACAGTCGAACAAAATAGCGTCGAATGGCAGGAGTTATCAAAATTGCGCGCGTAGTTTGACACGTGCGGAGTTAGCATAAAAGATTGCGGCACGATATCTGTGATTTAAGGTGAGTTTGTGGCGTTAGCATCATTGACGATTACACGTAATTTTTTTTCCTTTCATTTAATACCAAAAAGTCAGTTTAGCCAAAAATGGAGTTAGCAGCTTAAAACACTTAGCCGACGATATGTTAGAATCGATTGAGCTAGTGCAAAATACATGGTTTTTAGGAGAATATTATCGACCAGGTGCCTTAAATTTTTGAAAACATATATTAACCTACGTGTTCTTCCAGCTAGATAATTAATATATGGACACCATGTTAGTTTCTCATCAAGGATTATGCCAAGATATTTGATTGTATTTACTCGATCCAAGTAATTGCAATTGCAGTTTACATTGATTTCATTTTGACAATAATGGATTTGTATCTTTATTTTTTGTGCTGCCCTCAGTGAAACCTCCGTATTACCAAAAGTGATAAATTTTGTTTTTTGAATATTAAGTGTTAGTAAATTTTGACTTAGCCAATTTGCGACTCTCTGGAGACCCAATTCAGTGTAATATGTAACTTCGTCCCATGTAGATCCGTAAAAAATAAATGCCGTATCATCAGCAAACGTAAAAATTTGACAATTTTGAATCCTGAGTGTACATAGGCTATTGATATAAATCAGAAAAAGGGTCGGGCCGAGCACACTTCCTTGTGGCAAGCCCATTGTTAAGAAAGCGTCAGAACTGACAAGCCATCTATAGCAACACGTTGTTTGCGATTACTCATATGGTCCCTAAATATATCCAGCACTTTTCCCCTGATACCATTTTTTGCCATTTTCGTAATTAAGACAGGAATAGAGACCGTATCAAATGCCTTAGCTTTAGCTCCAGGAAAACCCCAATGCACTTATTTTTTTTATCAATTTGAGTAGCAGCTTGATTAGTGAGTTCAGTGACTGCCTGCGCCGTCGATCTACCCATTGTAAATCCAAATTGGTTTTGCGATATAAGTTTTTGGTTTTCCAGGTATGAGAGTAATCTTTTATTAAAAAAAATATCTAAGATCTTTGATTTATAGGCAACACTGATATAGGTCGATAATTGTTTATACAGTCTCTGCTTCCCGCCTTATGTATAGGATATACGATAGATGTTTTGAACACATTTGGAAAGACACCGGTTTGAATAGAGAGGTTTATGATACCCATATCATAAACCTCTCTATTCAAACCGGTGTCTAATTATGGAAACAATAGTAAGTTTTAAACTTTTAATTAATCTTGTAGGAATTTCATCCCAACCAACAGCTGAACTAGATTTTAAGTTTGCAATAATAGATTCGACTTCACGTTCGGATGCTTCTAATAGACACAGAGTTTACGGGGGGGATTGTTGAGTCGTTTATTTGGTTGGTACATGGAGTGATATTGCTTGGGGTGCTACACTAGAAAACCTCCCCGTGGTGCACCCTGGAAACGCTGGCGATGGCACTGTTTCCTCCTTGTCCTCTTGGAGGAGAGGATTATCGCCAGCGGCTAATATTCTAGCAGAAGAGGAAGCCGTATATCGGCTCTCGGGCAAGGCCTGGTCCAGCAGGGTGGGCGTGTCTGCCGGTTGCCCTGCTGGCTCTTCGCTCTTCGGAGCATGGAGGAGGAAACCTCGGTAAAAAACCAGAAGGTGGGGCCCTGTAGGGGCCACTTTCTCCGCTGATAGCGGTGGAAAAAGGAGGACGGGCTCGGCGTATACTGACACTACCACCGAGCAGGCAGGGGGACGTAGTCTCCCTGTCACCGTCGGCATATCGTAATCCCGAGAAGAGCACTGTGGTCAAGTCTCGTGGCTCTGATCGGGGGCAAGGGTCTTGGCTTAACCGCCCGGACCGCGAGGAAGAAAACCTCTCTAAAAAAATTACCCGAATCCCGTGTTCTGGTGCGTGGCCAGGGGATGCATGGCTGATGGGTAGTTCAGTCGTAAGCGCACTCCCAGCCGGGGCACTTGCGGACCCCTCGGTTGGGTATAAATTTACGCTTATCCGGGTATTGGGGGATCTTGGCTTACCCGGGTGGACCTTCGGTTCTCCCCCACTCGTGGGTATAACATGGATATTGGAAGTAAAATTAATAATAACAAATGATCGAAATAAAATACGACAAAGGCGAGCAAACTGGAAAAGGAAACGGTGGGAAGCAGGGAGTTGAGGAAGACTGGTGGAGTGGATTTGTCGTCCACATCCACAAGTGAGGTGGTGTTGGGAACGCCTATATCGGTGGGGCTCCCAGTAGTAGTCTGTAGTAGACTGACTGCTGGGAGCCGAAGATCGGAACGCTTGCACTCCAAATCTGCCCCGACTGGCGAGGGTGGAGGCTTCAGCGAGAGCATGGAAGTTGAAGCGGGACCGAGCGAGAGCCGGAAACGCGAACTCTCCCCGGATGGGGAAGACAACCCATCCGCGGAGTCTGGGCCTCCTAAGGGCGGCCGCAAAGTTAGATCGCGTACCCCTGTCCCCGTCCCGTCAGGCTCCGCCTTCTCTGAGGCGGAGTCTTACAGGCGTGTCCGAGCGGACGGGGAAGCCGTAGCGGAGGAGGAGATCGCTGATCTCCTGTTAAAAGTTAGGGAGCCGGTGGAGGGAGATGCCCCCCGGGCTCCCGTGTCTGTGCAGGAGAGGGCGACAGCGGCGGTGGCTATTATCCAGAAGGTAGCCACCAAGTCGGTAAACCATAAGGGCTCTTTTGTGAGGGCCCTTAAGGACTCCTCCTCCGCTATGTTGGAGGTCGTGGAGGGCCTAGTAGGCGATGTGTCTCGCCTACAGATGGCCAATGACAGGCTGACGGAGCAGGTGAACGAGCTGAGCGCTCAGTTCGCCCGCTTCCGGGCGAACCTCCCCGAGCGGAGGGCCAGGCCCACGCCCCAGCCTGTCCCTACCGCGACCTCAGGGGTACCTGACGCCCAACTGCGGGAAATCCTCGACGCAGTTGGGCGTATGCTGGACGGCCCTCTGGCCGGTCTGGAGGCGAGACTGCCCCCTGCGCCAGTTGTGCGCCCCCCGCTCGCGATCTGCTGCTGCTGTGGGCACCTGGGCCGGCGCCTTGGCCGGTGCCTTGGCCGGCGCCTTGACTGGCTCCTGGGCCGGTGCCTTGGCCGCCTTCCTCGGCCCCTGGGGAGCCGGCCAAGACGGGGCCCAAAACGGCGCCGAGGAGTGGAGTGGAGTTCGATCCGCTCCCCACTTAGACACCCCTGCCGGGCCCCTCCGCACCTGCCCCCTCCAACGAGGGTTAGCAGGAGGCGAGGGGCTCAAAGAAGTCCCGAAGGCGGGCTAGAAGGGCTGCTCAGAAAGCAGTCCAAGCCCAGCCTTCGCCACCGGTGGCAACGGCCTCTCAAAAGAGGCCGCGGAAACTGCAGCCGCCCAAAACCGCGGCTGTAGTAGTCACGCTGTCGCCGGAGGCGGCCAGTGGCGGGCTCACGTATGCGGCCCTCTTTAAAGGGGCCCGTCCCGGGCTCGCCACTGAATTCGGGACGGCAGGGATGAGGTTGCGCCGCGCCCAGACGGGAGCTCGAGTATTCGAGTTCCCTGGGGCTGAAGGCGCGAAGACGGCCGACAAGTTCGCCGAGAAGTTGCGGGGAATGTTTGCCGACACGGACGGTGTTAAGATCGCCAGGCCCACCAAATGCGCGGAACTGCGCATCTCGGGCCTGGACGACTCTATAACGTCGGAGGATGTCCGCGATGCAGTCATGGAGAAGACTGGGTGCACCGCGGACACCATCAGAGTCGGCACCGTCCGTCCGGGTCCGGGAGGCCTCGGTGCGGTGTGGGTGAGTTGTCCCGTGGCGTCGGCCAAAGCGTTGGGCGACGCCGGAAGCATGTTCGTCGGCTTCGTGAATGCCAGAATCACGGTTCTGGCCGCGAGGCCGATGAGGTGCTTCAAGTGCCTAGCCGCGGGACACACTCGCAGCTGCTTTGACTGCAGCGGTTTATGTTTCCGCTGCGGTCAACCCGGGCACAAGGCGGCAGAGAGGTCTGCCGCCCCCCACTGCCCGTTGTGTGAGGCGGGTAAAAAGCCCGCCAATCACATGGTGGAGCAGGGGGGCTGCAAGCCTCCCCGCGCTTCTTCGCAAACGCCGGGGTCTAGCCTGCCGAC